GTGCTGCGATGGGAAACGAAAGTAAACACTGTATACTTTTGTTCCCGCCCCTTGTCCCTCACCCAACCCCTCAGCAGCTTCCTAATGGCTGCTGAAGGGCTGGGGAAGGGACAAGGTTCCCACACACACCGCGTCAGCTTGATGTTGCCGACACGGTGCGTGTGGGAAGAGAAGTAGCCATTTGCCACTCGGGACTGACCAGTGCAGGCAGGGGAAAGTGCAGCTGAGCCCCTGCCGCTGCAGGCAGGCTCGTCCCATCCCGGGTAGCACACGGCTCTGCTGCCACTTCTGCTGGCCGGTGCAGACCCAGCTGGGCTCCTCCCGTCCCCAGCAGCACACAAGGCGCCAACTTCAGCTACATGCCGCCCTTCCTGGCTGGGGCAGACCTGGCCGGGTCTGTCCCATCCAGAGCAGCATGAGGCTGAAGCCAGCTTCCCAGGTGCTGCTGGGGGTGGAGCGAGCCCGACTGGGTCGGCACTGGCTAGCAGAAACGGTGGCAGAGCCTCCTCCTTTTGGGACCAGTTGGCACAGGTAGGGGGAAAGCTCTGATGCCCCTGAAACCCCACTGCTGGGGCAGGATGTTAGAGGGGGTCACAATCCCTTGCTAACTGGTAAGCTGTGCAAGGGGAGGGACTTCTGGTAGCAAAGGTCAGGGGTCAGGGGGTGGGGCTTCTGGTCCCAAGATGGCGACCAGGGGGTGGGGCAACTGAAGGGCTGGGGCTAGCCATGCAGCCCTTGACAGCTAGCCAAAACTCATCAAGTGGCCCTCTGCCCAAAATAATTGCCCGCCCCTGACTTAGGTCACTTTCGGTGTAGCTGTCCATCTAATCCCTTACATAGGGACTCTGAACTGGTGCAGGGCTGTGCACTAGCAAATCCCAATGTGAGCCTGGGACCTTATTCTAATTAAGGTTGGCTCTTCCGTTTTTGTAAATCAGTGCACATCCATTGCCCTCTCTGTAGTTGCACTAATTTAAACCCACTGAGGATCTGATCCACTGTATCCTGAAAGCATTTTGTGATGCACTTGATCCAAAGGGCTTTACAGGTTTCCCTTGCTTTATGCCATACATGCACTCCTGGAAAATGGTGCATAACTTTAATTCACATAAAGGGAACCCATTTAACAATGTAACAAATAGGGATACGTTCCAAGACCTTGACTGTACTGACCCCCAGACTCACTTCTACCGCTTTTACAAGACAATTTTGGTACTCACCAACAGCAGACAGTACACACAGGCACAGGGTGGTGATGAATGTTACCATAATGGGCATGACAACTATAGAAACACATCGCAGACAACGAGTGAGGAGTGCAGATCCACACCAGACATTATATGTTAATGCGTGTCACTCCCACAATGCACTGCACAAAACAGCTGACTGCAGGCTTCCACATCAGTTGCATACAAATTTTGGTATAAAAGGGTCTTCACATAAGAGTGAATTCACACATACAGAACCTGCATAAAACAAGGGAAACCTGTAGAGGAATAGTTGAGAACAGACTCCTTTAGTGTTTTACACTCACACAAACTATGTAGAAATGTACACTTAAGTTGATTTAAGTGCCAATCTATACAGAGATTTGGGGAAGTTAGCTGCAGGCTTGAGAATATGTAATGCACCTTAAAGTAGCCTCTCCTTTCTGAGCTGTGCTGTGTGCTTGTCTTCAGCAGCTCAAGCTCTGGGGTCTTCGGCTTTCCTTTGCTAAAACATTATATCATGTAGTGTTCGACTTTGGGCAAAAAATGGTGAGCCTGATCTAAGTTAGATCACCTGAGGAAATGAGATAAATTAGATTGATGGGTTAACCTGATCTACTGACTGTCTGCACATGTTCGAAGAACAGCCCTGGGGCTTGGAAAACCCAGCCACTTGCCCCAGCCATAGACTTTGCTCTTCCTACTCCCTGTCCCGACTGGGCTGTTTTTAGCTGCCCCCCCCTTCCTGGATGGACGACCCTCCCCCACAGACTCACCAATACCTACCAACCCCCTTCAATACTGCCAAACCTCCCCACAGACACAGGAATGTGGCTAGTCACCCCAGTCCTGCCTGCCCCTCTCCCCACCCTGACTGACTTAGTTTTGGTTCCTGGCACAGCTCCCGGCACTGGCAAATGTGTGCATTAGCCACTTCCAATCCACAAACATGGCTTAAAGTACACCGCGGATACAGAGAATGTCTGGATGTACCCATGGCCAACACGGGTCACTACCCATTGAGCAGACTTGGTTTGGTTCCTAAGTTTCCCTCACAACTGACAGGAGGTGCAGTCTCTGATAACACAGAGATGGAGAGCCAGCCTGTTGTTCTGTAAAACCAGCTAAAATCATTTTAGGCCTGGATTGCACCAGTGAAGAAAAAAAAATCATTAGAGATTTCATAGATTTCATAGACATTAGGGCTGGAAGGGACCTTGGAAGATCATCGAGTCCAGCCCCCTGCCTGAAGGGCAGGAAGTCAGCTGGGGTCATAGGATCCCAGCAAGATAAGCATCCAATTTGCTCTTGAAGGTATTCAATGTAGGTCCTTGAACCACCTCCGATGGCAGGCTGTTCCAGACCTCGGGGGCTCGGATAGTAAAGAAATTCTTCCTTATGTCTAGCCTGAAACGGTCTCGCCGTAGTTTATGACCGTTCGACCTCGTCATCCCTTGGGGCACTCTGGTGAACAAATGTTTCCCCAGATCCTGGTGGTCACCCCTGCTAAATTTATAGGTGGCCACCAGATCAATGAATCTTAATGTCTTTCATTCTCTAAGACTCCCTTGAATGAATGAAAATAAGGAAAAGTCATTTTCCATAAGTTAATATTCTGTGAAAAATCCCATGGAAAAATTGTGTGTTCTTTCCCCTGGGAGTAAAGGCAATTTGTATGATAACATAAAATAGTACCTGAAGAACAGGCTTGGTATATCTTGTCTGGATACTTAAAAGCTTTTCCCTGCTTCCATTTTTCAGCATATTTGGAAGTGTTGAGATCTTCAACCTAGACCCAAATAAAGTTTCTACAATACAGATCTGGCTTATGCACAACATTGGAGGTCCTAAAAGGTAATATCATTACAACGTCTTCTGCTGAGCCAGTTCAGCTCAGCGTGAAATTGTTTTCTTTCTACTATCTGTTGAACTACTTTTGCAACCCCTTTGTCTTCTAATTTCTTCTCCTTTATAGCTGTGAAACTCCACTGAGAACCTACATATCCTTGTCGGCTGTGCAGAAGACTAGTCACACAGCTGGCAGAGTTGAAAACCATGTTTTTATATAGGAGCTAAGCAAATTTGCACACCACTGTGAGGCAGTAAATGCAGAGCTACCACATGGCTTAGGTGTTGGCCAGGGGTGACTGATTACTAATTACTCATTTGACACCATTCTGAATTCACTCATTTTTAAGTGATCTATTCAGTGATTGGGAAATGGTTTAGACAATCCTCATTGACTTAATGATAACTCAGCAGTGTTACAGAAAAAAAAAGTTTATGAAAGAGTAAGTCTCTCACCAAACTTTCTTCCGGGGATTACAGAACACGGTGGAGATGCACCTGAAGTCTGTTGCCAAAGTGAGTGTCAGAGTCAAGCCTATATAGGAGATGTGTCACAAGGCAAATAAGGCTAGAAATTAGAAATGCCATTGTCTTCTGAAAGTCTGAGAACAAGTCCAAACAAGTTCTTGGTGGTTCTTGGGAAGGGTCACAATTAAACAATGTGTATCACTCCAGGAAAGATTTGCTTCTGAAAAGAAAGGGAGTTTTCATCTTTCTTCTCTCTGAAACTTGTGCACCTGCTAGCCATTGCCTGAAAGTCCCTAGCCTGGTTGACACGATTGGGCCCAGCTCAATTAGCAACCCCCACTAATCAAGGTTTAAACACTAATTAGGGCACTGGTTCTCTGAGCCCACATTAGAATAGTATCCATATCAAGAGACTTTCTCAAGATTTCGGCATGACCATACAATGACAATATATAAACTATATAAAGTTTGTGTAATTCTTTAAAATGTTACCTATGAGATTAAAACTACATTGATAGACCTAGGTGCATAGAATTATAGATAAGTATGTGCATATAATTTTGTCTATGTATAATCTGCATCAAGACTATGTGACCAACAACAAAGCCATTTTTTCCAAAGTTTATTTTAAAATAACAGTGTTCAGAAGTAGTTATTGTTTGAATCATTTTAATACAGCAAGTGGTTTTACACTACTGGAGGATTTCTCTTGTATGCTTATCATGACAGTATTTGAGCACTTTCCTGTATTGCATGACTACACCATCTGTGTGGTCTCATATCCTCTCCCCAAAAGATGCGGTGTGGTCAGTGAAGTGTTTTAATTTGGAATTTATTTATCATACAAACAGATTGTTATATGTTATGCTAGAGAAGACAAGTATAGTAATTTTGCCTTGCATTTGCAGCAGAAGATGACAAAAATTGTGTACTTTGCCTGCTATAGGAAGTCTTTAGGCAGGGGGATAGTCCGTGTTCTGGATCTCTGAGTAACACCATGTACTTCATTGGAATCACTCCTGAGTTTTACTAGTCATTATATTAGAACTGGATCCAGGGGCATTTCTGCTAGTTGAGAGGCTCTGCTTATTGCTTACATGCATTTGAGTATCTGCCCATCAGCTGACAGAAAGTGTTCTAACAACTGGATTTATCTGCACACAAAGGCTCAGCCCCAAACCGAGATGAATGTTATGCTCAAAGATGTCCCCAAGCTTCCAAATTTCTATGACCAAACCACAAGAAGGGAATAAGCTCACTGTCCAGAATAGTGGGGTCCAGAAATCACCAGGACACATTTCTGCACTACCAAGTCCTTGCTGCCAGTCTTCACTCCTCACTGGGCAGCTGTTGCACACAACCCAGGGCCTCCACAAATGGTCCCCATGGTGCTGTTCCCTCTTTACATTTGCTTAAGTTCCACTAGCTTGTTTTGCCCCGTCAGCAGCTATAAGGTGAGTGTAGATATGCTGTGAGGCTGCTCCAGCTCGCTGTAATTACAGCACAGCGTGTATCAGCATCCTGTTGCTTCAAAGTGGCAGCGAGGGCACTTGTATTAAAGCTTGTTGAACGAGTTCAAGTGCCCCCACTACATTTTGAAGTGTGGGGATGCTGATATACAAGATGCTGAGGTGCTTTAATTGAGCTTCTCCTGGAGCCGCTCTAATTAAAGTGCCCGCCCCTGGAGCACATGTAAAAGTGCCCATACAGTAGCTCCTACCTTGTGCTCTGACAGCCTCTTCTCTATACTTTTCACTAATGCCAGAGGTCCATTCCTTGAATCTTCATGTATTATTTCTGGGGCATCAGCTCCATGAATATTCACTTAATCTCCAGATTCACACTACACATCATGTCACCAGCAACTCTGGTTAAGTCTTGTGAACGGGAAAGTGTTTATCCACTTGCCAGTTACCTTGTATTTTGTGGCACAGCCCTGTGTTTGCCTCAGTGTCAAGCCAGTTCTGTGACTAGTCTCACAGGCAGGACCATGAGAACAGGTGCATTCAGTTTCAGTGTTCATTTCTTACCACTGAAGTGCACTGTCCAACCTACATTTCTGTATTTCACCCACTGCTCCATCACTTTATGATCTTCAGTCCTACATCACTAGAGAGCTCTGGGAAGAGCAGGACTGACCTTGCCCACTGAAGGCAAGGTATTTCAACAATGAGGCATCCAGTGCCAACAGCTGCCTTTGCTTCTTCCTTGGTTTTCCCAGGCTGCAATATTCCTTGCTCTCCCTGAAGCTATCCATATAACCTGAGGGATCTGCAGCAGGAATGGTTAACTGCAGCAGAGGAATCTGGAGCAGGTAGAATTGGACATCAGTGTCTACATGGCCAGCCTCCCCTTCCTTTTCATAAGGCTGTGTCCTATTGCTTTCCATTGACTTCAGTAAGCTGTAAGGATTCCTCATAAATGATTAGAGAGACTGGATGGAGCACCCACAGCATGCTCTGCCTGAATTCAGGTGACCAAATCATTTTTCACACTTAGCTCCCTGAATGAAGCCTTTTTCCAGGATAGGGTGAATGTCACCCTAGGATTTTATTAGCTAAGACCTTGATCCACCCAAGGTACAATTGAAACCAAGGGACTTCATGCAAGTGTCCTGGACTCTCCTGCCCAGAGTAGCTGGCAGGTTCAAATATAAAAGACCACCTGTCTCCACTAACTAAGTTTCTTACGTGGCACACAAGTAACAAGCTATTTTTCTTTCCAGGGACTCTTGTACAGGTTACTCCATAACAAGGTTAAAAACCATCCTAGAAGAACGAAACTTCATTGTCTCCTGTGAAGACAATTATAGGTAATAATTCACTTTGCGTTAAACAATGTACACTTTTTTAAAAATGAGGCTGTTTCTATCTCCCCACCCCCTCTCCACCATATTGGATTATTTTGGGAAGAAAACACATCATGTTTTATTATCCTAAAGTAGAAGTTGCTGTTGCAAACATGACACCCAAGGCATAGGGTTGGTATCATAATACTCATTGCTTTTCATGCCAAAGGAAACTAGGAGGTCCCAATATGTTTCTCTTTTCTCCCACTTAGCAAAAGGCTGACCTGGCGGCAGAGAGGGGTGCACCAGCACCATCCCAGGCTGAGCTGAGAACCATGATACCAAAGAAATAAACACTGGATCATGGGATTACTACATGCTTGGTGTGTCTACACAAGATGGTACTGTGCAGTAGCTCGTTGCTACCACACAGTAGCATTGCCACACACTAACCATGTGGCAGCTGTATTGCGCAGTAGTAATGAGCTCATTGCTCCTACACAGCAATGTTGGAAAAAAAAGTGTGGTGATAGTACTGTGCAGTAATGCCAGTTTAGTACTTATGCAAGTACTAAATGACTTGTGTAGATGTGGCTACTGTTTACAGGATACTATATTAGGGACCATGATGATATTTTAGGAGAGTAGGTAGAAGACTGTGAAAGAAACCTTAACCTGACATCATGACAGCATGTTTGCAGCATGTGCGCATGTACTGGGGCTGGGGTGGTTTTGGATCCTCCATGTTCTTCTTCAGTGTAGCACATATGGGGTACTGCTTCTAGTCCCCAAAATGAAGAATGCTGAAGAAATCTTGTGCCCATCCTCAGAAACTAAAGATGATGACAGGAGCAGCTGAGTATCTCTAAACTTGATCTTAGCCCACAAGAGGCCAAGAAGCAATGCCAAGGGAATAGGGATACACAAAGACATCCAGATGGAGGAGAAAAAATTCTTTATTCACATTGTTCTGCCCTTGGGTTTAACTAACAAACACAATAATGATATTTTATCTATTGGGAAAAGCTTTTCTTGGTGACAGACTAGGACCTTGATACTATTTCTGAAGTAAACAAACATCTTGTTAAACTACTGCAAGTTTTATGAGAATTGTTAGCCACCTTTAACAAAATGAAGACATGGGCCTGCAAGGGAGAACAAGTGGACAAATGCACTTTCTGGCAGCAAAGGTTTAAACTTTTTGTTCTGTGCATGGTTGGATGTTATTTACAAGTGCTCTGCACTGTGTGGCATCATTAACATGAGAACAGGGTCAAATGCTACCAGATTAGGATGTTTTATACCCACTTGGTGTTCCTGTAAATGTAATTCTAGCCAATACATCAAGAACTGAATCAGAAATTTCCAACGCTGAAGAAATGAACTGTTCCTGCTTCAGTTAAAGAACCAGCACTTCGTAGATGAGGGATATAACAAGTCAGCTCCTTCCGGGTCATCACCAAATAGGACCCATCACATGCACTCGCCAGTGTGTCACAAATGATTTTTTGTGTCACAGAGCAATAAAGAATTGGTCCTTCTATCAGAGCTCAACTAGTAATCAAGTACTACCCCTACCCCCCCAACCCCTGATGATTAATAATACTCTCTTAGGCACAATGGGAGAAAGAAGCGTCATTTAAAATATTCAGTAATACTCTCCAGGCAAAACCTGCTGGCAAGTGACATAGCTTCATTTAAATCAGTGTAGATGGAGCAATGCCAATTTACAACAGCTGAGCATCTGACTTGTCAGACCCTATAGCTGCCACAGTATTCAGGCTTCTTATCTTTCCTAGAGAGTCAACATTGTCATCTAGAAATAAAGAATTAGTTCAGTGGCTAAATTTCAGTCCCCCAGTGTCCATCTGAAATTTACGTACATGTTAATTTAAAAGCAATGATCGTTTTAGACTGTGTAAAAAGTAACCAGCCAAGTTATCTCTCTGCAATAATCTACATCACCTTTAAAAAAGAGAGTTCATGGTCTCAGGCCTATGCAATATGCACTTTGACTTCCACATGGCATTTGATAATTACTTTTAATGATCACCAGAGTTATGATACTGTATACCTCAAACAGCTACTAAATGTTTTGTTTTTTGTCTTATCACAGGCCAGTTTGGCTTTTTCAATGTGCGAGTGAGCCTGGCCACGAAGACTGCAGACTTTGCTTCCGTGGTGTACAGTGAAATGCACAGTACTCTACACTAAGTCATTCATCAATTGTGTATAATAACACTCAAAAAGAATATGTGGACAATTTTTAGAGTAATAAATAGAACACTTGTATGTACATACACTGTAGCCGTGTTGTGGCACAAATAGATGAATGAATGGAAACACTATTTTAGGTGCAGTCACTGAACATTGCACAGCTTCCTATTACATGGCTTCCAACCTCTTCAGCCTAAAGGTCAAACATCCCATCTCATAAAGGTCAAGGCTAGGGACAGATATTCAAAAAGCCTGAGCCCTTGATTCAATCTTGGCAGCTTAGTCTAACCTGACTAGGCTGAACTGGCTTGAAACTGGTCAGACATTGTCTCTGGACTGAGGAAATTCAGGCACATGCCTGCAGTGGCTGAGACTAGAAACCAGGGGGTGCTAGAGCAGCCCTCCCTTCCCTTCTGCAGGGAGCTGAGCTGAGGGAGGCATGGCCAGGCCCCGGCAGGATTCTGTCATTAGGGAGGTCCGTCTGCACCATCCCAGGCTTTTCCCAGCTGGCTGCTCAAGGGGCAGCAGTGTTGCCAGCCCCCAAGCCTGGGCTAGCACTTTGAGGCAAGGGGGGGCGGGGGGGAGAGGGTGCAGTGCATGTATCTGTTGATGATATGGAGCTTTTCAATCTTCCTCCCTGCTTTATCATACCATCTGCAGCAAACTGATAGGCAAGCAAGCCAGCCAGGGGGTTGATAATGGTCTTTATCACCCAATTAGCAAAACAATATCCTCTCTCCACATTACTTCAAACTTCTTAAACAGCTTACCAGCTGACCGGCTCCAAAAGCCCTAAGCAGGCATTAGCTAGCGTACCACATTCTGGCTACAGTCTGTGCTGTGGCAAAGAGGAGGAAGGGATCTCTACTTAAGCAGTGAGTGGGGAGAGGGGGTACAGAGAAGCCAGCAGACCTGTCTGTGCCAAGCTCTGGCCACAGAGCAGAGAGGAGGGGCCAGCTCTGCTGTGGAGCAGAGAGCCCTGCCCTGCCCAGCCCAGCCCAGAGACCATGCCGGGGGACTCTGATCTAACTTAAACCAGCGAGGGGTCCAAGACAGATGTTGCATAAGCTAGTTTGAGCCAAATCAGTTAAGTCTGATACTATATTCCACCAAGTTTATCTCAGACTGGTTTCAGCCATTTTCAAACTGGTTTATGTGTACTGAACAACTGTTCTGTTACAGGTTTAAACCAGTTTCTGATTACTTAAACCAGGTTATGTGTAATGTCTTTCCCTAGCCCAAAAGTTTGCAATCAGTATTCCAGGCCAGATTCTCTGTCCCTCCAGCTCAAATTGGGCAAAGGAAAAGAAACCACTTGTAAGTCCTCTGGTAGATGTATAAGAGTGGCAGTACTCAGTTCTTTGCTTCCCTCAAGGCAGCACAGCAGCACAAAAGAGCATGACCAGTCAGAAAAGGAAGTGGCTGGAGTGTGCCATATTTTGCTGCCCCCCCCATTTGGAACATGGTCCTTAGGGGAATGTTGCCAAATGACAACCCGTAGACACCCACAGGCTAGTGTGAGCTGCACCAGTAGAATCAGTTGCAGTTTTGCTGCTTCTTTTTTTCTCCTTTCCCGTATGCCTGTCTGGCTGTGTGGGGAAATGGAAGCACTCCCCTCAGCTCAGGCAGAACCAACTGAGCCTTGGTCATCTTCTCTTGGGGAGGGGGACTGAGGTTCCATCTGCCTGGTTGGCGAGTGGAGAACTACAAATATCCAGAGCCACTCTTATGTCCCTCCTTAGCATGCCATAAGTGGCCAGTGAATACAAGGTGAAAGAAGCAGCTGCTCAGACACATTCAGCTAACCCTGAAGCCACTCTTGTGATTGCAGGATAAAGGGACTGGAGACAGTGCAGTAAGGCAGGAGAAAACAACAGCTGATTCCAATACTGTCACTTAAATTCACAGTCACAGGTCATGAAAGGCATTTTCAGTCCTGAATTGAATTTGCTTCCATTTTACAGGCATTGCATAAGATTTAAGAACACTTATTATAACACTGAAAATATGGGGCCAGATTTTGGACCTTGGCTTCAGCCTCTTTGGACCACTTTAGTGACACAGAGGGAATGGAGAGTTGCTGTAAGAGAGATCTCTAGGTATTGCAGTGCCAGTATAGCCAACACTAGGCACAAGCAGATGTCCAGCTCCCCAGTATAAGTCATGGCACTTCACAGAAAGAGCCATGAGAGTTAGATTGATTCTTCTGACCCAACAGATGTTAGCTGTTGGGTCAGAAGGATGGGGGATTGAGCTCCAATTTGGACCTGATCTAGGGAGAGAGGCTGCATCTCTGCAGCCTCCTCCTTTAGCTCTTCCCTCTTTCCAAGCCTCTGGTGCTGTCTCAGGATGGAAGGGTTAAGAAGGCAGGGGATGGAGGTCCATTCTGGGGTTTCCCCAACTGGTGCTGGAGTTGGGGGGTAGGTGGATTGGAGCCCCCCCACCTCAGGCAGACTCCAGTCCACCCTGGCCACCCTCCAGCAGCAGCTGGGCAACCCCCTGAAAGAGCTCCCTCTGCTCTCTTCCCCTGCTCCCACTCTGAGAACAGCCCTGTGAGATGGGTTGGGCTGTGTCAGCTCAGCCCTGCTCCCAGTGCATACAGACACAAGTTAATGGAGGCACTCTGCTTTGCAGCACCTTCATCTGAACGCGCATGTAAAAAAGGGTTCATATTGTTGTGGGTTCAGGCCCTTGTAAAGCACTCTGCAGCTGCACACTTTGTTTGGTTGTGGCTGTAGAGCACTTTCAGGTCCAGATCAAGTACAAATTGTCACTTCTGTCTGTGCTTTTTGCCAGGCTCGTAGTCCGGAAGGGAGATGGCTGGAATACAATGCATCTTCAGCTGCTCTACATAAAGCTGGGAGGTCTAGAAAACCTCAGGTTAGAATACTAGGAAGGTCCTTAGAGATGGTGTCTTTTACCAGGCTCTTCACTGTGCAGAGCTTGGTTTCCCCTGTGGATATAGGCCATTGTGCTTACATTAAGTAGAACATTTATTTTTTAATTGAACTCTGATAGGTAGTGACTGCTATTAACTCAAACTTACACTGTTAACCTTAACTCAATTTATTTCTGACAAAAGAGTTCGAGGATTTGTCTTACTATTCACTTTTATACTTAATTATGCCATAATATGAAACACTGAATGTAAAGTGAAGTATTTTCAAATCTTTGATGGCAGCTTTACTAACATTATGGTTAGTTTTGGACTGGATATTAAATACAGAAATTATTAAAGTGAGAGCGAGATTTTCACATGGATTATAACAGTGAGAAAAGTAAACTTACTTTGGACGAGTTTTTCCGGGAAATTTTACTGGCATGATGATAATAAAGAATAAATCAGTCAAGCCAAGAACTGCAGTTTTTTTCCTCTGAACAAATAGCTTCCTGTTTTTTCTCTATCTATAGTCATGCCTGGACACTGCCAACTATTGACAGCCTAAGGCAGTGGTTTTCAACCTTTTTCATTCCAGGACCCATTTGTCAAGATCAATGGCCTCTCCCAACCCACACCCCCTGACCCTGCTGGTGCCCAACCCAAAGTCCCCTGCAGGTGCCCCTCACACCCCAAACCACAGCCCCCTGTCCCCCCCCCAGCCATGCTGATGCCCCTCACTCCTGATCCACAGTCCCCTGCCAGCCCCAGCCCATCTGAGCCAGAGCATGAGCAGCGAGTGCCAGCCCCTGCGTGTATGGGCATCAGCCCCATGCTGCTGGGCCAGGCACACAGCTCCCTGCTGAGAAGGACCACTCTTGCCTCCTTCCCCTGCTGAAGGGCCAGGCACATGTGCCCACTGCCTCCAATCATCCCAAGCAGCCACCTGCAGGCTGGAACACTGTCATCCTGCGAGGGGAAACCCATGCTTTCACAGGTTTTTCTGGGGACTTGCTTGCGACCCTTTCAAATATTCTTGCAACCCACTTTTGGGTCATGACCCACCAGCTGAGAAATACTGGCCTGGGGTATTCTCTCTCTCAGAGTTCCTGCTGGATAGTAGATCTGTGCACAATGTCTCCTGGAAGTTGCCACTTCCATGTTCCACGTAGTCTTGAAGCATATGCCACCTTCAGTGTGCCGTTCTACTGCAGCATTCATATGAACAGCTGCAACAATTTGCTTTTCCTTTCAAAACATTATCTAACTATGATACACTTCCACTGGGGTGAAGGGGACTTATGGAAATAGTAGTTATTGATTGTTCAAGCTGTTTTCAATATTTTGCTGCTGTATTTTTACCCACAAAGCTTTTAACATCTAGTCATTGTTTAAATATATGGCACTTTTGCTGAATACCTGTACATAGAAGCCAGTACTTTCTTGTTCATGGAAACTCAATTACCTTCTCACCCTGCCCTCAGATAGTCCTTTTAGTCAGACCGGAGAGCATAGGGAACTTAGTGGATGCATCTACATGTGTGATGAATGTGCATGAATAAATTCTGGAGCTTCTTGCTCCACAGCACATGGAGCCCGGTCAGAGCAGCCCAGGCTGTCAGGGGACCCTGAGGTTAGCCTGCCATCCCAGGGCTCTTCTGACCAGGCTGCACATGCTGTGGAGCAACTGACTGAGGCATGAGTGTGCTTCAGTACAGGGGATGCCTACTGGCTAGCCCTACACTGAAACACCCTGTCCCCCAGCCAGATGAAGCAGCGTCTACACACACATTGCTGCTCATGAAATACAAGCACTGCAGCAGTACTGCAGGGCAGTACTTGTATTTACAAGTGCAACCCTGCTGCAGAGTTTAGTAGTTTCATGCACCCTAATAGAGTTATATATGTAGATGCCAAGATGTTTACTGAGCAGTTAATTAGTCTGCTGCACAGTAAACATCTCATATAGACACACCCAGTAGGTATGGCAGGAGCAATAGTGTTTCAAAGTGGCACCAGCTAAATCAATGGTTCTTAACTTTTTTCAGCCTCAAGGCACCCTTCCATAAGTTTTCCAAATTTAGATCCAAGCTCACTGATTTTCAACTGCAGTACCATAAAATTCAGAGACATTAGAGAGGTGCCTTGAGGCTAAAAAGGTTGAGAAATAGTGCTCTATGCCAGCATTTCTCCAAACCTTTTATACGCAGGGCACACTATTTTCTGGATTAAAACTGGTGGCACCTTTTCAGTCTTACACCTGAAAAGATGTTTATATTACACGTACACATACAAGACATACACAGTAGTGCCCAACCTTTTGATCCTGCAGGCTGTATGAGTGGTGCTGGATGAGTCTGTGGGTCTGATCCCACCACATGGGACCAGCATGG